AAATTTTATTTGAAACAAAAACAATTGAAATTGAAATTAAAACAACATTTGAAATTGAAATCAAAATAAATAAATAAAAGTGGAATGAAAATTTTAATCAAAAATAAAATAATCAAAAACAAAAACAAAAACATTTGAAATTGAATTTGAAATTGAATTTGAAATTAAATTTGAAATTGAATTTGAATTTAAAATTAAATTTGAATTTGAAATTGAATTTGAATTTGAAATTAAAATAAATAAAAGTGGAATGAAAATTTTAATCAAAAATAAAATAATCAAAAACAAAAACATTTGAAATTGAATTTGAAATTGAAATTGAATTTGAAATTAAAATAAATAAAAGTGGAATGAAAATTTTAATCAAAAATAAAATAATCAAAAACAAAAACAAAAACATTTGAAATTGAAATTAAATTTGAAATTGAAATTGAAATTAAATTTGAAATTGAATTTGAATTTGAAATTGAATTTGAATTTGAAACTGAATTTGAAATTGAAATTGAATTTGAATTTGAATTTGAATTTGAATTTGATTTTGAAATTAAATTTGAAATTAAATTTGAAATTGAATTTGAATTTGAAATTGAAATTGAATTTGAAATTGAAATCAAAATAAATAAATAAATAAAAGTGGAATGAAAATTTTGATCAAAAATAAAATAATCAAAAACAAAAACATTTGAAATTGAAATTTGAAATTGAATTTGAATTTGAAATTGAATTTGAATTTGAAATTGAAATTGAAATTAAAACAACATTTGAAATTGAAATTGAAATTGAAATTGAAATCAAAATAAATAAATAAATAAAAGTGGAATGAAAATTTTGATCAAAAATAAAATAATCAAAAACAAAAACATTTTAAATTAAATTTGAAATTGAAATTGAAATTTGAAATTGAAATTGAAATTGAAATTAAAACAACATTTGAAATTGAAATCAAAATAAATAAATAAAAGTGGAATGAAAATTTTAATCAAAAATAAAATAATCAAAAACAAAAACATTTGAAATTGAAATTTGAAATTGAAATTAAATTTGAAATTGAAATTAAATTTGAAATTGAATTTGAAATTGAAATTGAATTTAAAATTGAAATTGAATTTGAAATTGAAATTGAATTTAAAATTGAAATTGAATTTGAAATCAAAATAAATAAATAAATAAAAGTGGAATGAAAATTTTAATCAAAAATAAAATAATCAAAAACAAAAACATTTGAAATTAAATTTGAAATTGAATTTGAATTTGAAATTTGAATTTGAAATTTGAATTTGAATTTGAAATTGAAATTGAAATTGAATTTGAATTTGATTTTGAATTTGAATTTGAATTTGAATTTGATTTTGAAATTTGATTTTGAAATTGAAATTAAATTTGAAATTGAATTTGAATTTGAAATTGAATTTGAATTTGAAATTGAATTTGAAACTTGAATTTGAAATTGAAATTGAAATTGAATTTGAATTTGAATTTGATTTTGAAATTAAATTTGAAATTAAATTTGAAATTGAAATTGAATTTGAAATTAAAACGACATTTGAAATTGAAATTGAATTTGAAATTAAAAGAAAAGTGGAATGAAAATAAAAAAAAAATAAAATTTCTCCTTTTTGTTTTTTTAAATTTTTTTTTTTCTCCTTTTTTTTTCTTAAATTCCATTTTTTTTTAATTAAATTTTTTTTTTTCATTTTTTTCATTTTTTTTTAATTAAAAAAAACAAAAGCAAAAAAAAAAAAAAATTTAAATTAAAAAAGGAAAAAAAAAAATTTAATAAACAAAAACACAAAAAAATGACTGATGAGAGTTCAGATCTTAATACTTCTAGCGATGAAGATGAAGGTATAAATAGAACAAAAAAAGACAAAATCAAACTTGAAACGCATAAAGAAGGAAAAACAAAAGAATTAATTGATTATTTAGCCAAATTACAAACAATATTTAAGGAACAAAAAGAAATAAAAAACCGACAAAAAGAAATTCCAAATGAAATAAAGGATTTTGATTTAACAAAACAAAAGGAATTCCAGCATTTGAAAGACTTTTTGGGAATTTTGTCAAATGAAAAAATACTGGAAAACGAATCAATGAATTTATTTGTTAATTCAATTGATAGTGACTTGATTTATTGGATCCAAAAAATAAATGAATACCAAGAATTTCTTGAAGAAAAAAAAGACAAAAAAAAAGATGAAAAAACTAAAGCTGAGCAAAAAAAACTCCGTCAAATCAAAAAGGATATTGAAAAGCTCAAAAAATATTCGGCAAGTTACAAAAAATCAACTCATCCATTTATTCAACTTGAACAGGCAAATTCTTTAATGGATGAAGTGCGAAAATTTAAGGAATTGAATGACATGTTTTCAAAGCAAAGTGAATCTTGCTTTGAAAATTTATTTGGTTTTTATTTATTAAAGGAGTTGCAACAAATTATGAAAGAAAAACATTCTTGGTCGCAGTTCTTTTACAATTCAATCCAAAAAAAAATTTTAGCGTTGATATCAAAAGGCAAACAAAAACAAGAACCAAAAATCAAAGACGAGCAAAAGACTTTAATTCGTGATTACAATATGAATTTAACAAAATGTCAAATCAACAAATCTTTAATGAAAAACAATATCAAGCTGGGAATTGAAAATGAAACAGTTTCTTTGAAACTTTCTAAAGAAATTGACAAAAAAAAAAGCAGTTATGATAAAATCAGTTTGTCAAGCGGTGATATTTCATTGTTCAAATCATTTAAGAATTTAGATTTAAAAAATGACAAGCCAAAATTTAATTATTCAAAGGAAATGCCCAGTAATTTAGAAAATCACAGAAAATTTTCAAATTTACCAAAAGACATTAAAAATCTGAAAGCACTTCCAGAGGATATAGAAGCACAATTTAATAAAGAATTCCAACAACTTTCTAGGAATGATGAAACCGATCTTGTTCGTTCTACTAGCTTAACTGATCTGAATTTTACTAAAAAGCTTCTCCCACATTTAATTTTTTCACATCCAGTTTTGTTAGACTTGAACATGTTTGGATATTCTCAAAAAAGCAAGAAAAAACTATTTATCAGCTATCCATTCTATCAAAAAACATTCAAACTCTTAATTGAATCAGAAAAGTATTCGGATTTTTCAATGATTTTATATGTTCGTCAGATTCTCTCTTTTCTGGAGTATTTGAACTCAAAGGATTGCTTCCTAAATGTGGATCCATCTCATTTTGTAATTGATGAAGAACATCAATCAATCTATCTTTATGATTTAACCAACTTAACATTTTTAGAAGAAAAACAACAAGAACAAGAACAACAAGATAAAAAAGGAAAAAAAGGAAAAAAAGGAAAAAAAGGAAAAAAAGATAAGAGTAAAGATAAGAATAATGAACAAGAGGATCAAAAAGCTGTCAAAGAAAAACTGGAAGAAGAACAAGAAGAGTCTCTGAAAAAACTTTTTGAAATCATCCCACTTTTTAAACAGCCAGAATTCCAAATTATTAAAGAAAAAATTTCATCGCCATCTTCTCTTCTCAAGTTGGATTTCTTTAACAATTTTTTACCTTTCCCATATCTTCCTGTTAACGACACAGATTTATGGAAACCAAAAGAACTTTTACCACCAAATCCTTTATATTATCAAATCAAAGACATGGTTTATTCTTCTGCTTTATCTTTTGAAGGCAATTTATCACTTAATCCTTTTTTTAAGATCATTTCAGTTAAAATGATTGGAAATCCAAAAACTTGGAATGATTATTTCATTTATAAAATCCAGAACAAAAAAGAACTAGAAGAAAGCAAAAACAATGAAAACAAAAAGAAAAAGAAAGAAAAAGAAATTGATTCTGCTTTTAAAATTAATGATTTTGGAGAGTTTTATTTATTTCATGGGAGCTTTATTTGATGATTTACGTTTGTTTTCTTCTTTTGCTAATCAAACTTTAAAAAATTCCATTTCAATTCCTTCTGGTTTTCAATTTTCGGATAATTTTTCTTTTATTACAAAACAAGCTGTTTCTAATTTTGATTCAAAAGTTTTTTATGTTCAATTATGTCGTGTTGTTTTGGGTCAAGATTATTTATCTCAAGTTAAAGAACAAAGAATTTGGGAAATTTATCATTCTAATCAATTTTATCCTGAATTTGAAATTGCTTATCAGATTCATATTCCTGAAAAACACAAGAAATAATTCTTTTTTTTTCTTTTCTTTTCTTTTCTTTTCTTTTTCTTTTCTTTTCAATTCAATTCAATTTTTTTCAATTCAATTTTCAATTCAATTTTCAATTCAATTTTCAAAATTTTAAAAAAAAAATAAAAATAAAAATAAAAAGATTAAAATTAAATTATTTATTCCACTTTTTTTTGAATTAAATTTATTTTATTTTTGAATAAGTTTTAAATTAATATTAATAAAAAAAAGAATAAATTTAAATCATTTTGAATAAGTTTTAAATAAATTAATAAATAAAAATAAAAATTAAAAAAAATTAAAATTAAATTATTTAATCTAATTTTTGAATAATAAAAAGAATTAAATTAAATTTACTTTTTGAATAAATTTATTTTATTTTTGAATAAGTTTTAAATTAATATTAATAAAAAAAAGAATAAATTTAATTCATTTTGAATAAGTTTTAAATAAATTAATAAATAAAAATAAAAAGATTAAAATTAAATTATTTATTCCACTTTTTTTTGAATTAAATTTATTTTATTTTTGAATAAAAAGATTAAAATTTTATAAATTACTTTTTGAATTAAAAATTAATTTTTGAATAAGTTTTAAATTAATTTAATAAAAAGAATTTTTAAATTAATTTGAATAATTTTTGAATAAAAATAAAAAGATTAAAATTAAATTATTTATTCCACTTTTTTTTTTGAATTAAATTTAATTTATTTTTAAATAAGTTTTAAATTAATATTAATAAAAAAAAGAATAAATTTAAATCATTTTAAATAAGTTTTAAATAAAAAAAAAAAGAAAAAAAGAATAAAAAAAAATGACAGCAATGGGATTCGAACCCACGTCCTTACGGAATAGCGCCTTAAGCTACCGCCTTAGACCACTCGGCCATACTGTCTTTATTTTATTTAAATTTTTTTTTTAAAATTTTATCTATTTATTCTATTCTTTTTATTTTTTATTTATTTTAATTATAAAAATATAAATGAAATTAAATATAATTAAATTAAATAGTATTTATAATTATTTATTAAATTATCTGAATAAAATAAATTTATTATTAAAATAGATTAAATTATATTTTATTCAATTTAAATTATTTATTCCACTTTTTTTCAATTTAATAATAAAAATATAAATCAAATTAAATATAATTAAATTAAATATTATTTATAATTATTTATTAAATTATCTGAATAAAATAAATTTATTATTAAAATAGGTTAAAATTATATTTTATTCAATTTAAATTATTTATTCCACTTTTTTTCAATTTAATTATAAAAATATAATCCGAAATTAAATATAATTAAATTAAATAGTATTTATAATTATTTATTAAATTATCTAAATAAAATAAATTTATTATTAAAATATATTAAATTATATTTTATTCAATTTAAATTATTTATTCCACTTTTTTCAATTTAATAATAAAAATATAAATCAAATTAAATATAATTAAATTAAATATTATTTATAATTATTTATTAAATTATCTAAATAAAATAAATTTATTATTAAAATAGATTAAAATTATATTTTATTCAATTTAAATTATTTATTCCACTTTTTTTTAAATTTAATAATAAAAATATAAATGAAATTAAATATAATTGAATTAAATAGTATTTATAATTATTTATTAAATTATCTAAATAAAATAAATTTATTATTAAAATAGATTAAATTATATTTTATTTTAATTTAAATTATTTATTCCACTTTTTTTCAATTTAATAATAAAAATATAAATTAAATTAAATATAATTAAATTAAATATTATTTATAACTATTTATTAAATTATTTAAATAAAATAAATTTATTATTAAAATAAGATTAAAATTATATTTTATTCAATTTAAATTATTTATTCCACTTTTTTTTGAATTAAATTTAATTAATTTTAAAATAAGTTTTAAATTAAATTAAATTATTTATTCCACTTTTTGAATTAAATTTAATTAATTTTAAAAATAAAAAGATTTTTAAATTAATATTAATAAAAAGAATAAATTTAAATCATTTTAAATAAGTTTTAAATAATAAAAAAAAGAATAAATTTAATTCATTTTGAATAAGTTTTAAATAAATTAATACCGTAAAATAAAAGATTAAAATTAAATTATTTATTCCCTTTTTGAATTAAATTTATTTTTTTAATTTTTAAAATTTTAAATCTATTTATTAAAAATTTTAATTTTAATTTATTTTAATAAGTTAAAAATAAAATGAAAAATTAAATAAAATTGAATTAAATAGTATTTATAATTATTTATTAAATTATCTAAATAAAATAAATTTATTATTAAAATTTTATTAAAATTTATTTTATTCAATTTATTTCTTTATTTTATTTTTTCAATTTTAATAATAAAAATATAATCCAAATTAAATATAATTAAATTAAATATTATTTATAATTATTTATTAAATTATCTAAATAAAATAAATTTATTATTAAAATAGGTTAAATTATATTTTATTCAATTTAAATTATTTATTCCACTTTTTTTCAATTTAATAATAAAAATATAAATCGAAATTAAATATAATTGAATTAAATATTATTTATAATTATTTATTAAATTATCTGAATAAAATAAATTTATTATTAAAATAGATTAAATTATATTTTATTCAATTTAAATTATTTATTCCATTTTTTTTCAATTTAATAATAAAAATATAAATGAAATTAAATATAATTGAATTAAATATTATTTATAATTATTTATTAAATTATCTAAATAAAATAAATTTATTATTAAAATATATTAAATTATATTTTATTTTAATTTAAATTATTTATTCCATTTTTTTTTTATTTATTTTAATAATAAAAATATAAATCAAATTAAATATAATTGAATTAAATATTATTTATAATTATTTATTAAATTATCTGAATAAAATAAATTTATTATTAAAATAAGATTAAATTATATTTTATTCAATTTAAATTATTTATTCCACTTTTTTTCAATTTAATAATAAAAATATAATCCAAATTAAATATAATTAAATTAAATATTATTTATAATTATTTATTAAATTATTTAAATAAAATAAATTTATTATTAAAATAGATTAAAATATATATTTTATTTAATTTAAATTATTTATTCCACTTTTTCAATTTAATAATAAAAATATAAATCAAATTAAATATAATTAAAATTTTTAAATAAATATTTATAAAATTATTTAAATAAAATAATTTTTGAATAAGTTTTAAAAATAAATTAATAAATAAAAATTTTATTTAAATTTAAATTATTTATTCCACTTTTTTTTAATTAATAAAAATATAATTTTAAATAAAATATTTAAATTAAAAGTATTAATAAATTTAATAAATTTAAATAATTTAAAATAATTTTAAATAAAAAGATTAAAAAATATTTTATTCAAAAAAATTATTTATTCACTTTTTCAATTTAATAATAAAAATATAATCCAAATTAAATATAATTAAATTAAATATTATTTATAATTATTTATTAAATTATTGAATTTAAATTTATTTTTAAAATTATATCTAAATTATATTTTTTATAAATTTAAATTTTTATTTAATAATAAAAAATATAAATGAAATTAAATATAATTGAATTAAACATTATTTATAATTATTTATTAAATTATCTAAATAAAATAAATTTATTATTAAAAATAAGATTAAAATTATATTTTATTCAATTTAAATTATTTATTCCACTTTTTTTAAATTTAATAATAAAAATATAAACCAAATTAAATATAATTGAATTAAATATTATTTATAATTATTTATTAAATTATCTAAATAAAATAAATTTATTATTAAAATATATTAAATTATATTTTATTCAATTTAAATTATTTATTCCACTTTTTTTGAATTAAATTTAATTAATTTTTGAATAAGTTTTAAATTAATAATAAAAAGAATAAATTTAAATCATTTTAAATAAGTTTTAAATAAAAAAAGAATAAAAATTATTTATTAAATTATCTAAATAAAATAAATTTATTATTAAAATAGATTAAAATATATTTTATTTAAATTTTTAAAATTTTATCTATTTATTCTATTCTTTTTATTTTTATTTATTTTAATTATAAAAATATAAATCAAATTAAATATAATTAAATTAAATATTATTTATAATTATTTATTAAATTATTTAAATAAAATAAATTTATTATTAAAATAGATTAAAAATATATTTTATTTTAATTTAAATTATTTATTCCATTTTTTTCAATTTAATAATAAAAATATAATTCAAATTAAATATAATTAAATTAAATATTATTTATAATTATTTATTAAATTATCTAAATAAAATAAATTTATTATTAAAATAGATTAAATTATATTTTATTTAATTTAAATTATTTATTCCACTTTTTTTTGAATTTAATAATAAAAATATAATTCAAATTAAATATAATTAAATTAAATATTATTAATAATTATTTATTAAATTATCTAAATAAAATAAATTTATTATTAAAATAATATTAAAATGCTCCTTTTTTTTTATTTTGGTTTGTTGTTGATCTTTTGAAAATAAAATAAATTGAAAAAATAAAAATAAAAAAATAAAAAAAAAGATTTGAATTAATTTTTGGATTTGACTTTTGATTTAATCGCAAATAATTCTTCAATTTTCTCTGCAGTTTTAATACCCAGTCTTCCATCAGGAAAAATATTTGAAGAGACTTGGAAATGCTTAATCAATTCAACAAGAAAAGAAGGTTCTTTAATAACATTATGATCAGTTGAAAAACCAAGATTTGATAATTTGGAACAAATATTTTGAAGAGTGTTTTTAATTTGAGAAAATAAATTAAAATTCAATTCTTGATCGATTCTTTTATTCAAATAAGAAATTTTATTTTGAGTTTGTTTCCCTTTATTTTTAAGAAATCGTGTTTTAAATCCTTGAATTCCTAATAAAGTAACATCATTCAAAACACCATCAATTTTTGAAATTGAGGGAAATAAATCCAAATGTTGAAGAGAAACTTGCAGTTCCAAAACTAAATCATTTACAGCTTGATTAATTGGAATATTTTTTGATATTTGATAATCTTTTCGAAATTTTTCTTCAAGATCTTCAATTTTTTCAATTTTTCGAATTAAATTTTTTTCCGAATTTCCAACTAATCTGATAAGATTTAAATTGAGATTAATCAATGGTTGATCTTGTTCAAAATCACCAGATGGAATAAGAAATAATGTTTGATTGTCACTAGTGAAGGAAGTTGAATTAGAAATTAAAATGTTTCCTTCTGGTAATTCTGCTAAATAAAGTTCAGGAATATCAAATGAAAAAAACATTTTGTTGATTAACGCTTGTTGTGATTCTGTTGTGTTTGAGTCAAAATTGATAATGCATGCTTTTACTTTATCTTCTTTGTTTCCTGTATGATATACGAATGTGGAAAAGAATTTTATAACATTTACATTCCTAATTTTAAATTTTAAATTTGAATTTTAATTTTAATTTGAATTTAAATTTTGAAATGAATTTAAATTTCAATATGAATTTAAATTTTAAAATGAATTTAAATTTCAATATGGATTTAAATTTTAAAATGAATTTTAATTTGAATTTAAATTTTAATTTTAAAATGAATTTAAATTTTAATTTGGATTTAAATTTTAATTTAAATTTTAATTTTAAAATGAATTTAAATTTTAATTTGGATTTAAATTTTAAAATGAATTTTAATTTTAAAATAAATTTAAATTTTAAAATGAATTTAAATTTTAAAATGAATTTAAATTTTAAAATGGATTTTAATTTCAATATGAATTTAAATTTTAAATTTAAATTTTGAAATGAATTTTAATTTTAAAATGAATTTTAATTTTAAAATGGATTTTAATTTCAAAATGGATT